TCAGCATCCTAGCCTACCAATTAGCCATTACAGTCTTGCCATATAATGACTAACCAATTACCTCTATCAGAGATAACCAGGGGTGCCCTTGTCAGGTGGTTTTCAAATCCATTCCCCTGAATTGGCACCCTACTTAGTTACCCAATTATTAGTTATTATTGGATTTCTAAGTGGAGTAGCTTTTAGTAGTGCAGTAGAGCCTACCCACTTGTATTCATTTTAGCTTTACCAGATGCTAGGTTGACCTACTATCTCTAGTCAATCATCAGTTATCATTAGGTAAGAGGTAGTAAGTAGCTTAGTAAAGTCATGAGCATACATATGTTGCTTTTTACACTGCAACTCTGGTGAATAAAAAAGTATGCCAGTTGAAGGATTTGAATCCCACACTCTAGAGTGCACCTGCAGCTCATTTTACCAGTGAGCCACCTGGCGTGTTTTGGGTCTTGAATTTCATCCATTTTTTATCTGTAATGATATTCACAGTCAAGTAATTGAATCCCTCAATTATCACTTGATTCATTTCTTGTTCTCATATATAGTTCTTTATATAACTCTCATTTTTCATCATTCAGCTTGTTTCAGTATTTTGGTTCACTTTCTGACTGCTGGAGTAACTTCAGATAAGCTTTCATAATTTAATCTTTAAATATCTCTCTGAACTATTATTAAAGTTCTTCTTCAGTTTGCTCTTTCTAAGTTATCATTCAGAATTACTATTTAACTTCAGAGTCTTCTTTATTTTCTTTTGAGATTACTCTGAGTTTTCTGTCTTTTTAATCTGTCTTCTTTACCCTGTATTATCTTATTTAGTATTCTGGCTTGATATAGTAAAAGTATAGTTTTTTCTTTTTTCTTTATTCTTTCTCTTTCTCATCAAGAGTATCAAACTTTGTTATGTTCAGCTTCATGAATGTATGTTTATAAGAATTCAGTTGTACTTGCTTGTTTCAGTCTTGATTTTCTGTATAATTTAACAGGCTGGCTCTCTTCTATAGTGCTTTTTCTTGTTTTTCCATCTTTCATTTGTAAAGTCAGTTTTTAATTCTGACTGTCACTTCAATCATTTTGATCAGAGTGTGTGATTGTTTTTCTAATTATGCTATTTCATCTTTAATCTCATTAAATAGTTCTTGATAGAAGATGTTGGCTAAGGCTCTGTTATCTTAATCAGTATTGACACAGACTTGCTGGAACCTCATAGTATAATCTTGTGGTGATGTCTTTTATTATATATAATGTAGCTGCTGAGCTGCTGTATTCTGTTCCTCAACTTCTCTAAAAGTGATTTTCAATATCTGAATAATGATGTTGTAATTATTAATGATTTTGAGCATGTTGTTGTTCTGATCATCTGTTATGAATTCTACAGCACAATAATGGAACACACAGGATGATTGGATAACATCTGACAAGACAGAATCACAGACTATTGTGGAAGAACCTTAAGATGAGAATCACATGACCAGTAATAGAACTGATAAGCTGACTGATTACACTGAGCACAATAGAATTAATTAGAGAATATAGCAGATGTATTGCAATAGAATAAATAGAATTGCTTAGTGGAACTATCATCAAGAGAGCATCATGTATATAAGAATGCTTATTATCAGAGATTTAATGAACTTGTTCATCATAATTAATCTTCTTATCAATCTACTAGATATCTTTGAATCAGATACTTTCATATCTTGGTTACTTTTCATACTACTGAAGTCCTGTAATACTGTACAATTGTATTTAATTCTGCTACTCTTGAGAAGACTCTATAGTCTTGCTCTGACTTTGTCACACTTGCACAGAAACTCTTTGTTATCAGAGCAAGACTGCCAGCTTAATCAAAGCACTATTGAACTATTGATCACTATCTTAATTTGTTATTACTCACTGTAATACTTCTTGACCCCTAAAGACTCAAGAGTGTCATATAAATACATAATACATTAATCACTTCTGACTTAGAAGAGAATACATCTGAGATCTCAGAGATTATATACAAAAAAAGAACTTTTCACATCACATCAAAAAGATAAAGATACAATCCCACTTCATGTTAAGATCTAACAGAATATAGAAACTATATCTGCATTCAAAACATCAGTCATCAACACTCAAGATCTTATGAATAGAATCTTGCAGCTCAAACAGATTATCAAGAAACTTGAAGAGCAGAACTGTAAATTGAAAGACCATAATAAGTAGCTTGAGATCCAGATTATGGTCATCCCATTCACCAGACAACAGGAAAAGAAAGACAAAGCTAAAGTCAATCCACCAGAACTCTTCAAGAGCAAACAGAGAAAATTACAAGCTTTCTTGAGACAACTATGCATCTACATGAATATGAAAGGCAAAGAACTCAACAGTGACAAGAACAAGATGATAATAGCAGTATCATATCTTTGTGAAGCAGTATTTGATTTATTCAACATCTATCTGTGAAATTACTACAAAAAAGATGAAGTTGATCAGAATGATAACATGCTCAAGATTACTAACAGTTATGATATCTTTATTCAGACATTGAAAACCACTTTCAGAGAGATTGAGAAACAAAATACAGCAGCCCAGCAGTTACATTACATACAATAAAAGATATCACCACAAGACTATATTATGAGATTCCAGCAAGTCTGTATCAATACTGATTGAGATGATGAAGTCTTAGCCAACATCTTTTATCAAGAACTATTTAATATGATCAAAGATGAAATAGTGTAATTGAAGAAATGACCATGCACTCTAATCAAGATGATTGAAGTGGCAGTCAGAATCAGAAACTGACTTTATGAATGAAAGATGGAAAAACAAGAAAAAGTATTATGAAAGAGAGCCAGTCTGTTAAATTATATAGAAAATCAAGGCCAGAACAAGCAAGTACAACCAGATTCTTATAAATACATACTTATAGAGCTGGATGTGATGAAGTTTGATACTTTTGATAAGAAAGAGAAAGAATAAAGAAAAAAGAAAAAACTATATTTCTATTGTGTCAAGCCAGAACACCAAGTGAGACAATGCAGAACAAAGAAAGCAGATCAAAAAGACAAGAAACTTAAAGTAATCTTAAAAGAAAATGAAGAAGACTCTGAAGTGAAACAGCATTTCTGAGTGATAACTCAGAAAGAGCAAACTAAAGAAGAACTCCAATAACAGTTCAGAAAGATATTCAAAGAACAAGTTATGAAAGCTTACCTGAAGCTACTGAAGTGGGGTATAATAGGATGTCTTGTCAAAGTAGGTGAGTTGGTTGAGATGGTGAGAGCGCAAGAAGAATGAAAAATCACAACATAGTAAGAATGGTAATGGCCAAGTAGTAAGAACAGAGAAGCATGCCTTAATGGATGCCTAAGCTCATAAGAAATAATAGTACTAAAGAGCCTGTACTAACACAGGCAGCTCTAATAAGAAACAGTAGCAAGCTTCATGAACAAGAGATCTTCATATTCTCTAACTAATAACCAAACTAGCAATAAAGAATGAGTGTGTAGAAAAGTACAAAGATGTGTGAAGATATTGAGCAAGATGCAGAAGCTATGGGTGGTTTATATAGCTTAGAGATAGTAGCTGGGGGAGTTTTACATCTCAGATCAGAACAATCTTTATCCTAATATGGTACTGGAATCCCCACTACATTTTTTCCTGGCTTTTAATGTTGGTGTCCCCTGACAACAGGCAACATATGAAACAAAACAAAGGCAATTTAGTAAAGAAAATAAGAGGCTAAGAATTAGTAATAATCTGGTAAGAAAAGAGATAGGAAATAAGAATAAAGAGAGTGACAGCAGCAATCTCTAATAGTAATCACCATGATTCTCTTCTTCCACCAAGTTCTTGGGAGGAGGAGAAGACTGAACTAACACTGGGTCAATGTTGTTGTGCATGCAATGCCAATAGAATTTGTTACCAAAAGCTTTCTTTTCAATTTGGTATGTCTTGATAATGGCATCCAAAGTAATTTGTGTGGCCTTTAGGCCTCAGTTATTAATGAAGTTCTGAGTCTTCTTCTCTTCTGGTCTAAAGAGAGTATCAAGCTTCTCAATTACTATAGAGTTGTTCCATCTAATTCAGTCTATCAAGGCATCTGATATAGCTTCTAAGCCTTGCAATTGAATAGCAGTAGAGAATCAATATGAAACTGATGTGTAACAGTTTGAATGGCTGGAAGGTGATGATGGCCCTGGAACTAGATTTCTATATGCAGCAGAGAGCTGTGACCAGGTATCAGCTTCATTGACTTCAAGATGTTCATGGTTCTTCTGCATTGCCACATACCAGGGTAGCATAGTATGCTGGACCTTTTTGCATGGACCATGAGCTCCACAGGGCAGCAGAGAGCTTGTAATTTGGACATCACCAGATTTGCAAATGATGTTAATCCATCTAATACCAAATTTTCTTTCATCATCTTTGGTATACATTGTATTCTTAATGCAGTGAATATAGCTATCAGTGAATAAGTCTCATTCTTCAACTAGTTTTCACCAATTCTCTAGATGATTATGCATTTCTGGCAAGATTTCTGTGCAGTCACCAGGCTCTTCTGCCATTAAGGTCAAGAATTCTTGTATCATGTTAATACCTCTTCCAGTAGTAATAGCATCTGGAACATTGACATCAATATGGTGAAATCCAGTTTTATTCCCTGACTTAGCATACTTAGCATAATATGGATAGGAGATTAATTTCCAAGCATGGTCAGGTCTTGTCAGCATGTACTATAGATAGTATACAGGGTTCTGATGCATGAGTTGTTGGCCAATACTGTAATACATTATTCTCAACCATTCATAATTGTCATGACCTCCCATCATTTACTGATAATGATAGTACATATCATATTCACTATTGACCTGAGTAAGTACTGTGGTGGTGGCATCTTGTAAATTATCATTCCACCAGTGCATTAGCTGAGGAATAACAATAGATTCAGTGATCTCCTATTTCTTCTGAAGATTGCTGGTGGTGAACTTCTTAACTCCAGTAATTCACACATATCAGTTAAAGTCAAACATTCTCATGTTTGTGACCAGAGAGATAATTGGCTGATGATTGAATTTGTAAATGTCTAAAGCATCTTCAGCTCTAGCCAGTTTATTTGTCAAACAGAACCAGAGATAGATGCTGTCATTGGTCTTGACTGAGTCAATGTTGCAACAATTTCTATAGATGTGAGTCAAATAGTTGAGAAGCTTCTCTCTATTAAGTGTGTGAGTCTGCAACCTAAGTTTTGAAGTCATTAGTTTTGCATGATCATAGTATAGATAGATATTAGCTTTCTTATCACTAAATACCTTTTCTAATTGCTCCAGAATGCAAATAAGCTCCAATTCTGAACACATTTTAATACTCTTTATCTTTTGCAGGAGTTGCTGTTCAAATCTACAGCAACAGCAAGTACCAGAGCATACTGTTATGACAGATTCTTCATACTCATGTCAAGGTATCTCTTCATCACTTTCAGGAGGAATAACAGACTCATCATTATCATCTAAGTCTTGGAGGATTTGGTGTGCCAACATGGCTGCAATTCTTTCACTGTGATACTTTGGAGCTTCTGATTGGCTGGATGGATTGGCCAGCATGCTGGTAAATTCAAATAGCAGCTGTGATTGGTCAGTTTCAAATCCACACAATCTAATCAACATTGTGCTATGTATAGAGGCTCCCAACACATTGCAGCTATATGACATAGATATTCCACTTATTGGAACATCTCTTAGCAATCTTGAAGACTGTAGTTCTTCCAGTAGATCTCAGAAGCTGCTTGCAGTGGAAGAACTCCTAGTAATATTCTGAATTGAATATTGAGAGCTGGATGACTGTGGAAGAGCTAACAGCTGTAGAAGATTATAGTTACTAATGATAAGACCCTGTCAGCATAGAGCATCTCTTGAAGAAAGTTCACATATACAGTCAACTTCTTTATCAGCTGTAGTATAATCATCTGGCAATATAGCTAAGCTCCAGTGATGTCCAGCCCCTGTAGCATCTAGTCTTTGGAGCACTGCACTGTTAATATTATTGATAAACTTATTCCAATTCTTGTAAACATTTAAAGTATGGCAAAGCTTTTATGCTGCCCACAGGCTCTCTACTTTTGATCATATGGTATTAATTCTGTCAATACTCCATGTAGCAACAAGTCTATTCTTGATCTTTTGCATATTAATGCAACATCATTCAACATTCAGGGTAATCTTTCAAGCATCATGGAAATCAGCTTCAAAATTAGCATGTGTAACATGTTGCCAAGCTCTGGATCTTTTAACATATCAATAGAAATGGGCCACTAAGTCAGTAATTACATCAGTTACTTGCATCAGTGCATTCATTAGCTCAATCTGTAGGCTGTAGTGATGGTGCAGAGCTTGATTATTGATGTATTCCATAGCTGCTGTTAGGTTATTGAAGAAATAGTCATCCAGATTGACTCCACTGTCTCTGGTAATGACCAGGTCTTGGTTTTCAGGTGCAGGGGCTAGAGGAGGCAAGTTGCTTTATCCAGCCATTTTAAAGAATATCAGTAATCCAAAAAAAATTGCAAATGTCAGAATAACAAAATAGAATGCAAGAAGAAGTGTTGAAAATGTTGAATCTGTAAAAAGAATCAAGCTTGAATGTAAAAGACAGTAGAAGCTTCAGAAAAGAAAAATCAGTCTTTAAATATCTTCTGAAAAATTCAGAAAAAGTGAAGGCTTCTGCAAATAACAAAGAAAGAGAAACTTCCCAAATAAGCAAGCAAAAACTTCACTTTGCAGACAAATAAAAGAAACCTCTCAAAAGAGCAAGCAAAAACTTCACTTTTGCAAACAAAACACAACAAATTAAATATCTTGTGAAGATATAACAACAGCAAAGCTTCAGTTATCTAGTATAATAATTGGTAATTGTATTTGCTCCATTTCTTCTTGATCATTTTTATTTTTGCTCTCACTCTGACCTTGATCATCTCTCCTATCCAAGAAGCTAACATCTAAGAAACTGCTAGAGAGAATATTAGACTGGCTTCTTGTGGTATATCTTTGAGAAACATTCTTCATCTCTTCATCTGAATCTGCTGAACTATCACTAAGCTGCTTCATTCCAGATCTCATAAGCTACTTCTTTAATCTGCTTTCTGCAATAGATTCTTTGATTTCAGTGCTGTCTAACTCTTCAAGATAATAGAAATCTAGTTCTTGATCAGCAGACTTAACTCTATAGAGTTCTAGTCATCAAAAGCACAAAGTGTTGTTTCTAGATATATTCTGTTCTTCTTTAGTATTGTGAAGGAAGACAAGATCTCTAGATTGAAGAGAGTTAGTTCAAATATTATGAGTATCATCAAAGTATTTCTTATTCTTAGTGTGCATTCAGAGCTGATGATGTGCTGCTTTCAGAATATTCTCATCTCATCATTCAATTTGGCATGCACACATCAGAAGAAGATCTTCAGTTGTTTGGACATTTTACCATAAAATTGTTTGCCAAGTGGAAATCTTGAGTTTAACTGGAAGAACTGCCTTCTGGCCTATTAGTAATTTATAAGAGGAGATACCAGTACTAGTCTTAGTTGTTATTCAATCTGCCATCAGAATTACAGGAAGATGTTTAATCCAATCTCTTTCAGTATTATTAGTGGCTTTAGCTAATTCATCAGCTAAAGACTTATGACCAACTTCCACCATACTATTTACAGGAGAATTATAGGGTGAAATAATAATATGTTTGATGTTGAATTTCTTCAGTAAGGTCTCCACAACATTCTTATTCTCTGGTTCTCCATCTATAACAAATTTGGCAGGCAGGCCCCATTAACAGATGATATTCTTATAAAGAAATTTGGCCACAGCTTCAGCTGTTGCCTTCTTTAATGCTCTAGCTTTCATCTATTTAGTAAAGTCACATCTTGCAACAACCAAATAATTTTGTTCTCAACAGAAAGACATGTGTTTGATATCTACTTCAACTTTCTTTCAACAGATAGAAATTCAGATAGAATGAAGCTCTTCACTTAATCTTTGCAAATCTCTTTATTAATATTGAGAACAGTGCTTCACATAAGCAGACACATCTTTATACATTTCTGACCACCAGTATCAAGCTTGTAAGGTAGAGTATGTTCTCTCTTGCTCTTTATGGTCAAATTTATCATGCATCATGTGTAAAATTTGTTTGTGTTGTTCTTTATTATTCATGATACATCTTAGAGGCACATCAGATCCTGCTTGTCTAAATAGTTAATTAGTCTCCACCACATATTTAATTGCTTTCTTTTGGAATCTCACATACTCTTTTCCTTTCATGTCCAATGGTTTTGATAGAGTGATTAGATATCATGCAATTTTCTCTGATTCTTCTGAATATGTGGAGTCCAGTATTCTAAGGTCTTCACTATTGAGAGCTCAGCTAGCTAAAACTCTTATAGAATCCATAAAGACAAACAGATCTTTGTCTTCTTCAGATTCAGGTTGTTCTCCAGTATCTAGTTCTCAGTAAGACAGTCTGTCAGCAGCTGTATGTTTTGTTCCAGAAACATGTTTAACAGTAAAGTCAAAGAGATGTATTCAAGCTATCTAATTAGTAATCAAAGCTTCTGGAACATCTGTAGCAGTTCTATTAAGTTGAGTGACAAGAGTTTTTGCATTGATTTTCAAGATAAAGGGTACTTTATAGATATGGTGTTGGAATTTCTTGAAGACTTTCAAAACAGCTCTGTATTCTTGTTTGCCAGCATTATATATTTTCTCTGAATCATTCCATACTCCAGATTTATATTATGCAGAATGTCAAGCTTCTTGTTGCTCCTGAATAATATATTCTCCTCATTCTAATTTACTGGCATCAACAGCCACAGTGATAAGTAAAGAATCTTGTCCATAATTGATTGAAAGAATGATAGGGAATGAACATAACTTTTTCTTCAAAAGTATAAAGATGTCATTTTGCTCTTCAGTCCATGATCATATAATATTTTGTTGAAGCAGATAATGTAAAGATTCAGTTATCCAACTGTAATGCTCTATAAGTATTCAGAAATATCCAGCAAGCCCTAAAAATTCTTGTAATTCTGTAATACTTGTAGAAGTAGGCTAATTTGCAATTTTAGCTATCTTAGTTTTCTCAGGTTGTTGTCTGTTATAGTTACAGATTTATTCAACAACATTAACTCCAGACATGCAGAATTGAGATTTGGCACCAGAGATTCTAGCTCCAGAGATTTCAACAAGCCATAGAATATAGTTCAGATTCTGCAGATAATTATAAATAAATCTTCTTATTTCTAGAAGAACTTCAGTTTCATCTTTAACATATGATCTCTTTACTTCAAGATCATCTATAAAGGCTCAAGTAATCTCTGGAAAAACTTCTTGTATAATCTTCATTATCCTATATTAGGCTTGAGCTGGTGAATTCATTGCCTCTTGAACTAAGGTTGTATGACAAAAGAGCTCAATAGAGGTTGCAATGGCTGTCATATTCCTGCTCTCTTCAGCTAATGGAAAATTATCATATCCAGAGAACAAGTTATATAGACTAGCCATAACAAGTCTGCTGAAGTCTTCAGCATATTCATTAATATTAGAAGGAATAAAAGCATCTCAAATAGTAACTTTATTATACATATGTGCTGCATTAACTAAATGATATTTGCCTTTCTGTTTCTTTGCAACCAGAAAATAGAGGTTGATATATGAATCATGGCAAGACTCTAATGTTTTAGCTTCTAATCTGTTCTGAATGATTTTAATTAGCTTATTATGTAGAGCACAAGAAATTCAGCAAGTCTTAGTCTGTCAAGCTTCATGAGACTCTGTCTTAATAATCTGCAGAGGCAAGCATTCAGAATAAACACCATATAGATCTTTGAATGACCACACCAACACCCCTTCACATTTATAAAGAACTGATATGAAAAATTCCTTTTCTTAACTTGTTAGTTTAAATCCAATTTTGAGCTTCTCAATTCTCTCATTTGTTAGCTGTTCTCCAACAGGAAAAGACACAATTCTAGATCTAATATGGTCATCAAATTTATAATTAAACACAATGCATTTCTCCTCAGAATAATACTTATTCAAACAAACATCCACTTAATTATCTAGACATTCCAGTTTGCTTCCATCAGATTTTCCAGGTGCTAATGATCTTATCTTATCAGCTTTCCACTTATAAGCAGTGCACACTCTCCAGACTTCTGAAGAAGGCAGCCCAATGTTCCAGCCACTATTGAAAATATCAACTTGACATAATTTCTTTGTGACAAAATCATGATTTTTGTTCAGAGATGCATAAATTAATTAAGCACTTTGTGGAATAGGTTTTCAAATTAAGCTGAAATTAATATCATGTGTGTAATATTTACAGTGAGCTGTAACACTGTCCAGATCAGGAAGCAGAGGACAGAAAATCTAAACTTCTAATGTAAAATTATTCTTGTTCTCTGATTGATTCATTTGATTCACCAGCACACTAGTCAATTCAATTAGACTTAGCACACTTTTGAATTTATCATTACTGAAACTATGTTTCTTCTTATTATTATAGTCATCAACACCAGTACTGCTGCCAATACTTCCAACTTCTCTATTCTTTTCAACCTCCTGACCTTCAATCTTCTCATTATTAATTCTTATATCTATCATCTTCATTGCATTTTCTTTAT